CACAGACAACCCCGTAACAATATGCGTTTTGTACTGCTGTTACACAGTACAAAACGCATAAAAATTACAAAGACTTCATCGCAACATCTCAAAAAATTCATCTCATCTTTCAATTACACCCCAAACAGACACACTTTTTTTATCGAACAAGTACATTTGAAGAGAAAAAGTTCAGGAAATTTTGGCCAAAATTCGAGAGGGACTAACGGAAGAGAGGTGAAATCGTGATGTCTGTGGCCGGTTGCTCGACGTCCACCACTGCTACTGCTAGCGCCTGAGCACGAAAGCATTCGTGCTTTCTGGAAAACAGCGGCACGTGCTGCTTCATCACGCTCACTGATAGAGGATGGAGCCATCGATTCGATGCCTGACGTGTCGTAAATGGCCATCGATTTCATTTCACATCTTAAAAAAACCGGGTCATTTTTGGATTTCACATCTAAAACTTTGTATCCTTCAGATTGGACCAGATCGGCTCAATGTTCAGGGAGAAGCAAGCGGATAAATCCAGCGACATAGGCCGATGGAAGAAATCAACAAGATCTAGAAATAACAGCATTTGCGAGGAGTTGCTGAGAATATTTCAAAACGTTTACAGCCTTTTCAAGTGCTTCTGCCAAAAGAAACACCAAAAAAGGTGATTCTTTCAGGAGATTAAACAAATCTCAGGATCGCCAGCAGGCTAATTATCAGCTATTGGCGGATTCAGCGAGGAGGGGGGTGCAGCGCGACCTTCGAGGGGTGGTGTAGTGGAATGACCGGGGCGAGGAAGGAGGGAGGAGAGAAGCGGAACATCCTGGGGACCGAGGGTAGTTTGCCTCGAATTATTTGGTGCATAAATTTATTACAGTTTTTTTTTAACCTGTGTCTTCTGCGACTTTATAACTGAATCTCATCGCGGGAAAATATCGTTGGGAAACAAGAAATGTAAGATACTTGAAGCATATTTTAAATGAGTGTGTTCGTCTATCCGGGTATTTCAACTCGGCAACCAAGCAAGCTCCGGCGTCAAAATTTAACCAGTGGGCTCCACGGCCAAGTGTCACCCCAGAACCGCGGTACCAACCCTCGCGCAAGTCTGAACCACGTACGAGAGGGTAAAAGTTTTGGCGAGCACGACAATTGAGGGATGGGTTGGAGCTGGCCGAGGGGCGGGGGGTGTAGTGAAGAAGGGAGAAGGGGAGGTGGAAAAATCGCCCCCCCTCCCCTCCACCCAGGAGACCGCCCTGTACTCACCTATGTTATCAATCCGTCTGGCATTTGCCAAAGCCTTACCGGAATCTCTCTACGATTCAGCTAGAATTTTTGATGGCAATTTAATAGTGATGTTTGTTTCGTACACCAAGAATACAAGGAAAGCTACCTCATTTCATGCCAAGATACCTCATCAGTGCCAACCGGTTGGCACAACTATGCCAGGTCCCCTTGTTCTTGAGCTACATACCTCCAGTTAGTACCTACCGCTTGTTCGATGTATGTGTGCCAATTTTTCAAGTAACCACCCGAACGGAAGACTTCTTTTTCATGGACAATGGGTAATATTCTACACCAAAAATCATAAATTAAAGATCATAAAAATAACTCCGTTTTGAGGAAAAAATTTCACTGCTTTTGCCCAAAATGCACTTACCGGACCCCTTTTGCCGCTGCTGCTACTGCTGCCGGATTAATATTCAGCATACGATTGTGCCTACTACTGGGTGGTGGAGCAAATCCATTTGTACTGTAAGGATTTGTTACGTAAAATATATTAGCAGCTGCTGGTGATGCTGCACATTGCCGAAAACGTTCCGGAGAACTTGATCCTGGAAATTCGGGGCGATGAGAACAAAAAAAAACATTCATTTGCAGTTAAAAAAATAGGTTCTTGCACGTACGAATACAACAGACTGGCATCGTTCTGATTTCATCGCACCGAATTTTAACGGCACTGGCATTGTTGCAAAAGGAATAAATAGCAACAGGCACCAGACTAGCCGGTGCGATCATGCGTTTTGCGTAATTCAGCCCATCGAACGGTTGCCTATTAATGATTTTCACTGCTTCGTGCTTTAGTCTATGCAAAAATAGTTCAAACAGTAGAAAACAGTTAAAAATTTCACGCACCAGCGCATGAAAGTCGGGGTGAATATCGAAACCTTGAAGGGTGAATATCTTTCCGTGATTCTCGAGTTAATAGTTTACCCGCCAAAATTTTAACGAGGCCGAAAGTAATTTGAATATGAAGGTTGAGCATGAGCAGGGGGCCATTACCCTAAAATTTCAGCCTCCTAGAATCAGTGGTTCCTGAGATATTAATTAACCCGTAAAAAACTTTCCCGAGGCCATATGCGTTACCCGCGGGTACGGGAAAGCTGAATTTAAATTTGCGGGGTCCACACGTGGGTAGGAAACGTTCCCCTAAATTTTCAGCTTCCTAGCTTTTGTGGTTCCCGAGTTGAAAACTTCGGACAAGTTGCTGCGGACACACACACACACACACACACACACACACACACACACACACA